GCATCAGCAAAGAATATTGAATATACCATGGACTTGCAAAACAACAAACAAATCTATCTCAGAGGAAGTGCAACACGAATGTTCCTTAGAGGCGAGGATGGAAAGACAAACTGTGGGCATGCTGTCAGGAGTGACTAATAATTGGAAAAAAGATAGTGTTCTTGGTAAAGTAGAAGGCTTAACAAAAAGGAAAAAGAGCCTCACTTAGCTGAACTGACACAGTGGCTGCAGCAATGGGTGCATGCTCAGTAATGGTCTCAATAGCAGCAATTGTGAGGAGAGCACAGGGCTAAGCAGTGTTTCATCCTGTTGTACATCAGGGTAATAATCAGGCAGCGCTGACTCGACGGCACCCAACAGCAGCAATGTTAAAAGGCACATAGTCTGTAGGGAGTTGCACGGCTAACCCAAAGGGTATGCCTCTCTGGAGGTTTGAATCCACCAGCGACTCTGAGGGAGAAAATGGGCAATCTTTCTTTTGTGCATTGTTGTTGTTGTTGTTTTTATTTACCATCAAATTGGAACTTACTCACAACTGACCCTCCAAGAGGCATTTAGAGACAGTTAATCACACGGGACATCTTTGCTCATCTTTCTTGTGCTGGTGGATTCAAACTGCCTATCTCTGGGTTATTGTTCTTGTTGTGTGCCATCGTGTCAGAACCAACCAAGCTGACCCTCCAGAGGGTTTTCATAGACAGTTAATCAAAAGGGAGGAGATTGCCCATCCTTCTCCCGTGGAGCAGCTGGTGAACTCAAACCACATGCCTTCGCGATTGCAGCGCAGCTTCTTGCCACTAAGCCACATGAGCTGCCAAGAAAACAAATCAGTCTGTCTTGGAGAGGGTGAAATCAAGTCTCTCCTTGGAGGCTAGGATTTTGGAGCTCTGTCTCACATACTTTGGGCATATGGCCAGGAGAGACTGGTCCTTGGAGAAGGACGTCATACTCGGAAGGGTGGAAGGACAGTGCAGGAGAGGAAGACCCAGGATGAGATAGATTGATACAGTATCTGGGACAAAAGGGGTTAGTGTGCCAGAATTAGTGAGACTGGCTCTGGACAGGACAGCGTTCAAAGATATTGTACAGCTGCTATGTGTTGCTATATGCCCCAGGGACTCAATGGCACATAACAACAAAAACATACTAAATTGGTTGTTTTTTATTTAAGCCTAGTGTTTACAGTTAACAAGATCTTGGGGAGGGCCTTTGTGTTTAAAATTTGGTTGTTGTTATATTTTGGAGGGACATTCTTTTAAGTGGCACAACACTCTTCTGCCAATACACTGTAGTGAGGTAACTTGGGGTTGCTGTGATGCTGAACCTTGTGCCACTGTTGTGTCAAATGCCATAATGGTTACCAATGGTGGACAGTGTTTGATGGAGCTTCCAGTTGAAGACAGGTTTGGAAGCAGGAGTAGCATCCACTTCCTAAATAACAAACCTCTGGAAAGTCTATGAACTTTGATAAATGACTATAGTTATAGAAAGGCTCAGACCTTTTGTTCATAGGGTCGCTATGAGCTGTGTTTGAGAGCAAGTCTTGAGCAAGGCTGTGTCAGCAAGACTCTGGTAATAGAGAGACCTTGGTGGTAGATAGACCAGAGCAACTCCATACTAAGGTTATCAGAGCTCTCTGAAAACTTGCTGAAGAGGCAGTATTATTCATTCCAATTTGATGAGCTAAGAACAACGTTGTGTGTCTTTTTATCCTAGCATCCCTGTAAGATAGAATAATAGAACTTCCTTCCAAGGCTTTCTAAGGCTGCATGCACAGGAGAGGAAGGCCCCGGACGAGATGTATTGACACAGTAGTTGGAAGGGTAGGTGTGTTGTAGTCAGTGAGACTGGCTCAGAACAGGGCTGGTTTCAGAGCTGTTGGGCACAGGGTCGCTGAGTCACAGGCACCTCAATGGTGCATAACAACATGCATAACAACATAACAACCTAGGTAGCTTTGGAGGCCTAGTGGTAAAAAGCTGCATTGCAATCCCAAAGGCATGTGATTTGAACCCACCAGTTGCTTTGTGGGAAAAGGATGGGTAACCTCCTATAGAATGATTTCCTCTGAAAATGTATTGGAGGGTCAGCTATGAATTGGTTCCAACTTGACAGCACACAACAACAACAATGCCACTCATACCTATGAGTTGAAAACAATTCAATGGCAACAAATTTAATCTTTACATGGTCCAGTGGTTAAGAGCTTGGCTGCTATCCTGAGTTCATCTAGAGTTCTACTCTCTCTGTGGAATCACTATCAGTCCTATTCAATGGCAGTGGTTTGTTTTGTTGTTTTTGTGGTGTGTTTTTTTTTTTAATCATTGTGGTAAGAGAAGGGTTGGTGGTATTGTAGGTAAGAAAATTACCTGCAAAACTAAAGATCAGTGGTTTAAACCTATCAGCAGCTTTGTGGGAGAAAGATGAGATAGTCTGCTACTAAAAAGATTTACAGCCTTAGAGACCACATGGGCTGTTCTACCCTGTCCTACAAGGTTCCTGCAACTCCATGGCAATGGTGTAGTTTTGAGTTTTATTGGAAGGAGACCTGGTGATTCACTGATAAAGCCCTGAAAGCACAACGGTTAAGCATTTGGCTAATATGAGACTCCTCAGCTACTCCATGAGAGAAACGATCTGGCCTTCTGCTTCAGTAAAGGTTACAGAATAGGAAGCCTTATAGACAGTGCTACTCTGTCACTAGTGAACCACTAGTGAATCTGTGGTGTGTAGGCTCACATGGGCCTTTCTGTGTCTTTGACATGACCAGATTAGGTGAAATCGTGAACTGCAGATTAGTGGGAAGACACCACTGGACTCGTGTTTACCTGACTTATTGGGTAATCAGCTGTTGCAGTGGCACATACACCTTTGTTTCCCTACTACATATTTCTTAATGTGAAAATACGAGTCAAAGAGTTTGATTGTTTGAAGTTCCTGAAAACACATTGTCGATTTGCTCTTCAGAAAGACATCTCTGCATATCTTCGCTCACCTGCCTAGAGACAAAGCAAGCACTTTCTCAGGGAGTGTAGTGAGTGACTAACCAGGGCATATTCTAGTACATGTAACAAATGATAAATCAATATATGTCAGATTAGAACATTATTAACAACATTCGCAGATGGTAGGTCCCATCACTGTCAATTAAATGGGAGAAATGATAGTTATCCCACTGCGTAGGGGAAGAAAAGATCACAATGCCAATAGAAGCCTACCAAAGGGAGTGCAGGTGATCTGGGTCCTTAAAGACACTTAAAACATTTGAAGCAGCCAGGTAAGAGAGGGACAGAGTAAGATCCTAAGGCAGGAATTTATAGGACTTACACAGAGAAGGAAACTCTGGCAAGCTTAGTTAAAAAGGGTGTTGATGAGGAAGAGCTGTAAGAGTTTATCTGAGCTATTAAAAGAGGGCCTTGAATGACTGGCAAATGTTCTGGGTATTTTTCCTATTGTAGCATGGAATCTGAAAAAACAAGAACGTAAGATGATTTACAGCCTCAGAAAGTCAATGGAAGGTTTTCCTAAGTTATAATTGATTTGACCTCATTTATTTTGCTTTGGTTTATATTTTCTTACTGTTTTTCACTGTTTTAGAAAAATGTAAATATAGATAGAACAATAACTTCCAATTTAATTTTTTTTAACTTGTATAGCTCAATTAACCAGGGTTGTTCTGTAGAGAATTGTATGACTTGCATAACAAGACTATCAGATACTTTGTGCTGGACATGTTGCTAGGAGAGACTATTCCTTGGCAAGGAACACTATGCTTGGAAAGGTGGAGAGTCAGAGAAAAAGGGAAAGAACATCACAAGATGGACTGACACAGTGACTGTAGCAACAGTCTCAAATGTGACAGAGACAATGAGGCTGGCTTCAGTATGGGTTACAACAGATTCAGTATGGGTTACTTCACGACACGAAATGAAAAAAAATCTTCTCAACTGGACCAATAAGCAAAACCATGATAAGTGAAGTTGTGAAAGATTTCATTTTTTTTTTAATCTTCAATCAGTCCTCATGGAAACAGCAGTCAAGAAATCAACTGATAATAAATCAAGTGACATATTACATTGGGGAAATCTGCTGCCAAGAACCTCTCTAAAGTGCTAAAGAGTAGAGATGTCACTGATAATTAAGGTGCATGTGAACTAACACATGATATTTTAAATTGCCTTATAGGTATACAAAAGCTGGGCAATTAACGTGCAAGACTAAAGAATTTGGAGTTACACTACCAGAATCATTCTAGTTCTGTAATTTTAACATAGGATAGAGCAGGGTTTAGGATTTTTGTACATAGGGTTGCTGTGAGTTGCAGGCAGGTGAATGTCACATAACAACAACATCCATATGTCAGGGAGTTCTGGTGGCCTGGAGGTAAGGAAGTTGTATGATTTGAATCTACCAGTTGCTCCATGACATAAGGATGAGTAATCTCTTCCTCTGAAAATTTGCTGGAGAGTCAACTATAGATAGGTCAGTTCTGACTAGATAATGTATGACATAATCCTATGTTCTGTTTAGCTTGGGTGAAAATCTGACCCCTCCACACTGCCCCAAAATTATTTTAACTCCCAGACACACCCAGCCCACCAGACTTCTGAAACTGGACACATTTACATTCAGATTCCTAGGGTAGAGTCTGAATGTTTGCGTCAATATCCTTTAGCTGTGCCATATGATTATGATTAAAATCTTCTAAGGGTATATTGAATAGAAAGCAGTAATTCTAAAAAGAAATTAAAATCAGGTGGAATGGATTTTGAAATGCCAAAAGCCAACCCTATAGCTGATATGACCTAGTTACTTCTTTCTTCTTAAGGTTGTTTGTATTGACTTTTCTGAAATACTACACAAAGAATTCAGGGTAAGAAGCCTAAATCTCCTTCACTGATGAAATGCTCTTACTCTTTCTGAGGGTGTTGGATTATGGGCTAACTACATGGTCAGAACGTTTAGCATCTCTCCCTCTTGCTTGCCCTTTACTTCTTCAGGTTGTGGAAGCCATTAATGGTACAACCAACAACTGCTCTGATGATGAGACTGTGATGCTGACACCTACCATGGATTCTCGGCTCTACATGCTCGCCTTCTTGCCCTTCCTGTTACTTCTGGTTGTCATCCGGAATCTCAGGGTCCTGACTGTCTTCTCCTTGTTGGCCAATGTCAGCATGTTCGTCAGTCTGATCATCATTGCCCAGTTCATTGCCCAGGTTAGTGCATGTTGTATACATGATTCTTTCTGTGGGCAAAGGCTTTGTGTACATAGCAGACACCTGGGAAACCCCTGAGGATGGAGGTGTATTCCTCCTTATTCAGTCTAATCCCCACCCCTAGATAGCTTCCCTCCACAGCACATCTCTATGAAACCTCCTTCTTCTGTATCTCCTCTTTTATATTGTTCCACCAACACCTGTATTTTATCTTAAATATTGACTTTAAAAGAAATGTGTGTGTGTGTGTGTGTGTGTGTGTGTGTGTGTGTGTGTGTGTGTGTGAAGAAGGAAGTATTCTGTTTGTTGAATTACAAATTGTACATACAATGTCTGGAAAGCAGCAAAGGGAAAATTAAAAAGCAGGTTTGTCTACCACAGCTAAGACTTTCTGAGTTGCCTGTAGGCTTCAGGTCCAGATACCTGAAATTATACTTACGGAACCCAAGAGAGAGAAAGAAAACAAATTAATAATTGGTCACAGAGGTTTAAACAAAGAGTCTCAGTAAATCTATCATGATGTCAATTAAAATGTCTCTGACAAGTTGCATTATAATCATTGATTTTTCCTAAAAATCACTTTTATAGCCTTTCTGATTTTCTTTAATTGTTTCTCTGTGATTGTTTTTTGTTTTATGTGCTTTTATTTTTTAATTGTGACCTTTTTAAAATCTTATACTGATTTATTTACAAAGTTTGAATATGTTTTTCACAAAAGATCCTACCCATTTCCCTAACCCTCCACTCATCGAACTGTGCAACCCTATGATTAACACCCCAACCCCCTCCCATGCTCACCCCTTTGCTTCCACCCTCTCCCTCCTTGGATCCTCATACTCATTCTACAGTAATGATTTTATACAGTATTTATCCTTGTGGGACTGAGTTGGTTCACTCAGCTAATGCTCTCCAGTCCCTCCCAAGTTAGGGAGTAATTTTAAAAATCATTGCTCCTGCATACTGCATAGTACTCCATTGTATGAATGCACCACAACTTCTCAATTCATTATACGTGGTTGGACATCTGGGCTGTTTCCATGTTCTTGCGATGGTGAATAAGGCTGCTATGAACATTAGAGGACAAGTTTCCATTTGAGTCTCAGTTCTCATTTTCTTGGGGTATATTCCAAACAATGGAAAAGCTGGGTCATATGGAATTTCTATGTTTAGCTTTCTGAGGAAGCACCAAACTGCCTTCCAGAGTGGTTGTACCACTTCCTCTCCAACATTTATTACTTGCTGTCCTGTTAAACTTTGCCACTGGTACTGGAGTAAGATGGTATCTTGTTATGGTTCTTATTATTTTCTTTGTTAATACGGTGAATTACTTTGATTGATTTTCTTATATTGAACCATCCTTGTTTACCTGTTATGAATCCCACTTGGTCATGGTGGATTATTTTTTTTTTATGTGCTTTTGGATTCTATTAGCTAGGATTTTGTTAAGGATGTTTGCATCTATATTAATAAGACATATTGATCTATATATTCTTGGTAATATCTTTGCCTGATTTTGGTATTAGGGTTATGCTTGCTTCATAGAATAACTCTGAGAGTGTTCCTTCTTTTTTTTATTTTTTTAAGTAGTTTATGTAGAATTGGTGATGGATCCTCTCTGAATGTTGGGTAGAATTTAGCTGTGAAGTCGTCTGGCACGGGACTTTTCTTATGGAGAAGTCTTTTTATGACCTTTTCGATTTCTTCTTTTGTAATGAATCTGTTCAAGTGTTCTGTATCTGTCCTTGTCAATGTGGGTAGGGAATGAATTTCAAGGAATTTGTCCATTTCCTCTAGGTTTTCAAGTTTATTAGAGTATAGCTTTTCATAGTATTCTGGTATTGTCAATTTAGTTTCATCTGATTCTGTTGTGATGTCGCCTCCATCATTTCTTAATTGAGTTATTTGTGTCTTTTCTTTTCTTTTTTCTTTCGTTAAGTTTGCCGGTGGTTTGTCAATTTTATTGATTCTTTCAAAAAATCAGCTCCCGGTCTTATTGATGGTTTCAATTGTTTTTCTATTTTCTATCTCATTGATTTTAGCTCTTGTCTTGATAATTTCTGTTCTTCTAGAGGCTGTAGGGTTAGATTGGTTTTCTTTTTCTACTTCATGAAGGTGTTGAGTTAGATCATTGATTTTTCTTCTTTCTTCTTTGTTTATGTGTGTGCCTATTGCTATGAACTGCCCCTGAGTACTGCCTTCGTTGTATCAAAGAGGTTTTGGTAGGTTGTATTTTCATTTTCATTTGTTTCAAATAACTTTTTCATTTCATTCTTTCTTTTATAACTCAATCATGTTCTAGCAGAGAGTCATTTAGCTCCCACATGGGTGACTTTGTAAGCTTTACCATGTTGTGGTTAATTTCTAGTTTTATGGCATTTTGATCTGAGAAGATACTTTGTATTATTTCAATGTTTTTCAATTTGTTGAGGCTTGTTTTGTGTGGTAATATGTGATCAATTCTGGAGAACTTACCATGTGCACTTGAGAAGAAAGTGAATTGCGTTTTAGTTGGGTGAAGTTCCCTGAATATATCCACAATTTTAAGTTGGCAATTGTGTAGTTTAGGTCTTCTGCATCTTTGTTGAGTTTCTTTTAGTTTGACCTATCTTTGGTGATAGTGTTGTGTTGAAGTCTCCTACCACTACTCTGGTGTTGTCTATTTCTTTCTTCAACTCTGTTAACTTTTTTAATGTATTTTGCAGGTCTATCATTTGATGCATAAATGTTGACCAAGGTTATGTCTTCTTGATCTATTGTGCCTTTCTCATTGTTGTTGTTGATGATGATGATAATGATTATTGTCAAGTCAAGCATGACTCATGGTGACCCTATGAACAAAAGGCTTGAAGCCTTTCTATAACTATCATCATTTATCAAAGTTTATACAGTTTCCAGAGGCATGTTGTTTAGGAAACAGATGCCACTCTTGCTTCCAAACTCAGTATGTAATGCCTTTCCTTTTCTTTTATGGTGGTTTTCATTCTGAAATCTACTTTATCAGAGATTAGTATTGCCATCCTGCTATTTTGAGGTTGCCTTTTGCTTGGTAAATTTTTTTCCCAGCCTTTGATTTTGAGTCTGTCTTTTTCCTCCTTTATTTGGATGTGTCTTTTGTAGGCAACACATTGATGGGCTTTGTTTTTTTATGCATTCTGCTACTCTTTTTCTCTTAATTGGTGCATTTAGTCCATTCACATTAAGTGTGACTATTGTCAGGCCAGGTTTTATTTTTGCCATGTTGCTATGTTTCTTTTTCTCTTGTTTCTAGTTATTATGGTCCACACACTTTCCTCTGGCATCTCCATGTAAGGGACTTCTATTAAAATTTCTTGTAGTTTTTGGTCTTGTTTTCAGAAATTCTTTAAGTTCCTTCTTTTCTGCAAAGGTTCTGATTTTTCCTTCATATTTGATGAAGAGCTTTGCTGGCAATTGCTTTCTGTATATGTTATCCCATCTTCTTCTAACTTTCAAGGTTTCTGCTGAGAAATCAGAACTTGATGTAATTGTTACCACTTTGTAGGTGACTCTTTGTTTCTTTCTCTCATGCTGCTTTTAGAATTCTGTTCTTATCTTTTAATTTGGAAAACTGGACCATGATATGTCTTGATGTTTTTCTTTTGGGGTCTAGTCTAATTGGTGTTCATTGTGTTTCTTGAATGTGCATTTCCCCATTCTTCAAAATACCTGAGACGTTTTCTTCTAGTACTTCCTCCACAATTTTCTCAGTGATTTCCCTGTCACACCTTGTTTTGAAATTCCAATGAAATGTATGTTATTCCATTTGATGTCATCCTACATTATTCTAATGTTTTCTTCATTTTCTTTATGTCTCATCTCTGATTTTTCTTCTAGTGTGTTTTCAGTGAAGCGCTTGCCTTCCAACTCACTGACCCTCTGTTCCATCTCTTCAGTTCTACTTTTTTTGTGCCACTAGCATGTTCTCCAATTTCATAGAGTTTCTGGAGGCAAGCTATTTCAGAAATGGATGCCACTCCTACTTCCAAGCTTGTTTTAATCAAGGAGCTCCACCAAACACTGTCCACCATGGGTAACCATTATCACATTTGATTCATCAGTGTCACAGTGTTTAGCATCACAGTAACCATGATTTACCTCTGTACAGCAAATGGACAGACCAGAACTATACCACTTAGAAGAATGTTTGACCA